GGGAGAAGAAGAAGAAAATGAACCAACAATCCGCCTTCGCCCCTGTTATCGATGCCCCTGCTGAGGAGGTCGCCTCGGAAAAGGCTCAGCCTGTCGAACACATTGAGGAGATAACCGAGGAGACCCTAGCTGCCGAAGCAGATGACGACGACGAACGTAAGAGACGACTTTCGGTCTCCAAGGCAGATTCAGGCATTGTCGTTGACACATCGTCAGTGTCTGTCCACACCGACGTGGCCTCTGAGTTCACTCAGAGTGACTCTCATCCTGCATCGCCAATCATAGCATCTTCCGAACCCGACCAGTCGACGAAGGCGTCATCACTTTCCGAATCCACCGAAGAGACAGTAAAGGAGCTCGAGGAAGAGAATCTTGATGCTGATATGGATATGGTTGAGGCACACGAGCAAGTCGAGCGGGAGGCGGAGGTTGAGCAAGCTCATGTTATTGAAGAGGCTACGGCCCCTGAATCGAACGAGCCCAAGGCCGATACCAGTGAGAAACAGGACGATACCGAGCCGGTGGTTGAATCCACCCCCACGATTCAAGACGTAGTCACCGACCCCCCCGAAACCAACCCAGTCGATGTTCCCGCACCCAAGGAAGCTCTACCTGCCGACGAGAACTCGATCGAGGACAAGGAGGAAACCCCCGCTGTCATACCACAAGGACTTGATGTCGAGCAAGCGGAAACCACTGGACTCGCCCAGCCCATAGAACCACAACTTGAGACTGAGAAGGTAGCAGTCGAGGCTCAACAACCCAAATCGCCCACCTTTAGCTTACCAATCTCCAAGTTTTCCACGAGCCCAACTCAGCCAAAGGCTCCCGTCGAATCGACGAAGCCGACTCCGCTGGATGTCAGCGACACCGTTTCTTTGCCGGCGGAAGTATCACCCAAATCGCCGCTATCTCCTCGCTCGCCTGGACTTGGAGTTCCTCGGTCCAAGTTCTCGACCCAGGATCTCAGGTCGGCTGCAGCTGTCGAAGTTCCCACCATCGTGTCGCCTGAAGAACAGGCACCCACAGAGCCACTGCCCACTGCTGAAGAGGAAAACGACAGTGTTGCTGAGGAGACTCCGGTAGCCGCGGAGGCGTCCAAGCGAAGATCGCTCGTTGAACCGATCCGGACCGATCTGGAAGTACTCGAGAAGCGCGCAAACGACAACATCTCTGACGATGAGGACTTGTTAGATGAGCTGCATTCTGCTACAGTTGAGCAAGCACAGCATATAACTGTATCCAAATCGCCCATTACCCCAGTGTTTCCCAGCCCGACGATTCAGAACGCTAGCAGGCCGACGTCGCGCGGAGTTGTTCGCACCATTTCGAACCCAGTGCGGGGGCTCACGGCTGCAGATGTGGCTCAAGCCCAAAGCCAGAGATCAATCTCATCCGGCGCAGCCTTTCTGCACAAGATTACGCAGCAACAGGGCAACAATCACTTGAAGCCAAACCAGCCTAACAAGATTGGATCTAGCATCTCCCAACGTATCAAGGCTCTGGAAAAGCTGTCTGCCCATGCACCCGGTGTTGTCGAAGCGGACACAAGTAGTCTGAAGGCTCCGAGGCCATCCTCAGCATTCTTCGCCGTTAAGAGGGGAAGCGTCCGGGATCCGCCATCTCGTTCCCCTTCGGTTGTCGACAGGACGAGGCCTTCGACACGTGGCGCCAGTCCTGTCCCCCCTATTATGACCGAGTCTGTAGAGTCATCTCCGGAGACTGCAGGCCGGGGTAGATCGGGGTCCATGGCAAACAGGCTCTCAATGTTTGAGATGCCTGGCAGCAATCCGCCCAGGGGCCGCCCAGAATCCATCTCCGTTACGGCGCGAATCATTCGCGACCCCAGCCAGGCTGGTAAGGCGCCGGAGCCGCCCAAAAACCCCTCCGAGTTCGAACGACTCGATCTTAAGGTGTCGCCTTTAGTTGTCGATCATCAGAAGGCTGAGCTCCCGCTCCCGCCAGCCAATCTGGCCACAGTGGAGCCCTCCAAGGAGACTATCCAAGAGCGAAGACTGTCAAAGGAGAAGCGCCGCTCTCAGTCCATTGACCCAAAGGAGGATGTCGAAGAAGCTCCGAGGCGCTCGTCTCTCAGCATCATGAAGGACTTCATCAAGGACCGCCGCAAGTCACTCACTTCTCCCTCCACAGAGGCGTTGACCGCTCCTCTCCCCATGTCTCCTGGCTCAAAGTCTCCCTCAAGACCCCCTTCTACTCACGCGAATTCTGGTGGTCACAGCCGCCGTCTATCGATCAGCAGTCGTCGATCTTCCATTAGCAAGGAGAACGACTTGAGCGGTGCCATGTCTCCGTCCATGTTTACTGAGGGCAGCGGCTCTGGCGACGATAGCAAATCCACTGCTAGCGACAAGAAGAAGGGTCGCGCGGGTCGATTCATGCGTCGCCTCTCGTCATCCCTGAGCAGTGCTGGGCGTGGTAAGACCATGACCCCGACTGCCATCTCTCCTACAGTTCAGGAGGAGGACGCATCAGAGGTGGCCCGCCTCCAGCAGCCTACCATCGAAGCTTTCATGGGAGATGTCAATGTCCAATTTCCAGACAACTTGCTATGGAAGCGTCGCAGCATGTGCCTGGACTCCCAAGGGTTCTTGATCTTGAGCGCCGTCGCCGCTGGCAACGCCGCCAAGAACAAGCAGCCTACAGGTGCCGGTGTCAAGAGATACCATCTCTCGGACTTCCGGGTGCCCTACATCCCCGACATGGAAATTCAGGAGCTGCCTAACAGCATTTGCCTTGACTTGGTCGAAGGCTCCGGCTTGCAGGTTGCGTGCGAAGATCGCGCCGGCCAGATGAATGTGCTGCACAGTAAGTCAAGGCATGGTCGCCAGATTTTCCACATTCATGCTAATAGATATTTAGTTCTTCGAGACGCGCATCAAAGCCACAGTTCCTTCGGGCAGTAAACACAATGGCGATACCTACCTACATTACTTTATCAAACCTTGGGACATACTTTTGCCCACCCTTTTCTATTATACCCCAAACTCTTTTTGACTCTTCTCAAGTACCCATTACCAACACGCCAACCGCCTTTCCTTTTTGTCAACATACCTTCTTACCATCGACCTCAACTCGCTCGCATGGTTCATTGCCTGCCTTCACAGCTCCAACATAACAACATACACCCAATACCAAGCGAGAGCAATAAGCGTCCGAAACGGAAGTAACTCATTCGCTACCCATTTCACACGTACTCTCACGCCTTCTATTATCAACAGGCAATAATTTCATGGCCAAACGCCATTTACACACACACACTTGTGATTTCCTAATTTTTGCACTTCGCTTCAGTCAGGAAATGATACCACCCCTCAACCGGGGATTGTTCAGTTTGGAGACGCGTCATTTTTGGAGGAAGGGCCGGCGTGTGCTTGAAAGAGAACCCACTCAACGACCGGCCCCGGAGAGACGGAAGAGAAAAAGTCGAAGAAGAGGATCGCTTTTCTTTTGCAGGATCCAATCTTTGAGTCGGCTGGCGCGTTTGACGCCTACTGTGTGTAGGAAAACTTCTGGACTGTACATACTACCCACCATCTCGGCGAAGAACAGCTGGAAGGTTTTATCTTGAGATAGACTTGGCCGGTTCTCTGCGGAGGCGTCAAAATGAGATGCAGATATCTGACTTCACCCTGGTGCTCCTTCTTCGTTATAGTTTGACAGTGAGAGGTGTGGTGTTTCGGTCTTGTTTTGACAACACTCAGTTTCAAGGTAGGCCAAATGAACGAGTGCCTTGGGCTTGCATCGGCTGGCTAACCTTGTGGCACAGAAAGGGGACACGACAGAGTTGAAAACTAGTCAAAGTCACAAGCAGGGTACAAATTGATCAATGCAAGAACGGGTCTTTTGGAGGTCGTAACTATCGCTCGGAATGCCAATGGTCCACTCATCTCGCTCGCAAGTCTCAGTAATGGGCATGCTTCCAGATCTCCAACGATCCCCAGTCATATCAGGAACCTGTCTGCCCCTATTCTCTCCTTCCACACTCTATCAGATAGGATGTGGCAGCAGCCTGGCTCGTCGCCAATTGTATCGTTTCCAGCCTATGCGCGTATGCTTTTAACCAAGCGCACCCAGCATCGCTCTGTCCTCCTAGTCAGATACCCTCCAGTTTCCGCGTCGCGGAATACAACTTTGTATGCCTCTTGTTCGTGTTCGTTTCAGAAGGAGCGGTGACTACCTATGCTCGATGTTAGTCAAGCTTTTTTTGGTCTCATCGTGAGATTGGCGAGAAGGAAGGAAGAAGAAGGAACGGCTGTCTTACCAAATTTGATTTTTTTTCCCGCAAGTGCTGGACGTTTAGAACAGGATTCGAAACGGTCACTCGTGAAGTTTGACCAGGAGGGATTTGAGCATTGCTTAGTTGTTATTATTGGCCGTACGGTTCGCACGAGCCTGCTGACGCGCCATCTGGCGACGCATGTTGCGGTTCTGAGGGGGGAGGCCAGTCGTCATGGCAGGCTCCTGCTGGTATCCGACACGAACGACATGGCCGTCGCGGCCGCGAAGCTCTCCGACGACGCGATCAATTGCCTCCTGCGCCTCGCGGCGCTGGGCCTCGGCGCGCTCCTCGCGACCCATGAAGAACATTCTGACGCGGCGGCGGATGAAGGGGATCCAGCCACCGCGGGGGCCGTACTCGCCGCGGAGGAGGCGACCTGTCCAGACACTGATGTCGAGGAAGTCGTCGGTGAGGTGGTCGGTGTACCAAAGGCAAGGGATCCAGCAGCAGCACATGGCGGAGATGAGGATTCCCAGGGGGATGGAGAGAGCGAGGGCCTTGGCGATGTTCAACAGCCAGTTGCCCGATGTGGAGAGGACCCAAGCGCGGAGAGCTTCGACTTCCTCGGTGGTGGTAGGCATTGCTGCGGTTGCGATGGATGTTGTTGACGATGAGAAGAGGCTTGTTGGAGTTGAGCTTGTAGTCGTTGTGGGAGTGTTGAAGGAGGGAAGGTAAGGGCCTTCGCCCTGCCAGAGGTTAGTCATCGTTGGAGCAGAGGGTGGGAGGCGGACGGGCAGCCGGTAATTCGAGCAGTGGAAGGCGGGAGGAACTTGAGGTTGAACTTTGAAATCGTGAGAATCGTGAGAATCGTGAGAATCGTGAGAATCGTGAGCGTAGAGACGGTGCTGCCCGATGGTATCGAAGTTATCAATGGGAAGCGCAGGCGTGGGTACCGTACATTGAATGCGTTGGAACCAAGGGTATTGTCTAGAGATATATGTCAGAGAATCGGTGTGATTAACTAGGACGACTAGCACAACAACTCACAGCTTTTGATGAGAAGAACTCTGATTCTTTGAGCAAACACAGGAGGAGAGGGATTCGATTATTGGTGTTTAAGCAGAGTATTCGAGAGTATTCGAATGGATTATATGGGTTTGTTGAAGCTAGAAGCCTCGCATGCAATCGATGGACGGATGTGAGCGTGTGGGTGGGTTTTGGTGACCATGAAAAGAACAACATCTGGGTGGAAGGGTATAAAGGCTCGAGGTTTTTTGGGTACTCAACTGTGAGGAAAGGATATGTCTGTGATGGAAGAAAACAGCCTTCAGATGACGAAGGAGTCAACAATGGAAGAACCGGAAAAGGGAGGCAGGTACGCTATAATGTAAAGAGGCAAGAACGACCTTCCTACCTTTGCCCTCATGTTGTATTGCGTATCTACGAAGAATAGAGCACCCAGCTGATGTACGATATATCTGTGTAGAAGTATACACCATACCCCATGAGAAGAGAAGCACCTACATGGCCAGAAGACTTGGTACCCAAAGATCACAAATAACGCTTAGTCTCCCCCAGAAACCCGGATATAGCCTCCCAAGCAACCCCCCTCCGCATCCCCGTCTCATCATCCCATGATGAATGAAGCCCAACGAGCGCCCCCGTCTTACTATCGACCAGCGGTGCGCCGCTGTGACCCCAGTACGTCCAGCAAGAATGCATTAGCGCCCCGATCTCCGAATTATCCTGCGGGTCCTGGCCCTCGGCGCAGCCCCTGAACGTGCCGGTGCTGAGGTGGAGGACGTTGTAGTCCGTCTTTGTTCCCGGGACAGCCGCCTCGAAGTCCTCGCTGCCCGGGTGGCCGACGCAGATGAGTCGGGCCTTCAAGGCGGGCGGTGAGGGGGAGAGGGTCACAAAGGGGAAACTCCCTGAGTGCGGTGGTGATGATGATGATGATGTCGGTCCCGAAGGTGGCGGAGATTGTTGTGCTGAGGTGATTTTCAACAGGGCCAGGTCTCTCTTGTCATCCCATGCTAGTGCTTTGGCTTCGACTACTTGGCCTGAAGCAAAGAGAAGCCAGTGGCTTTTGGAATCGTCAAAATCGTCAACGGTCTCGGCGATGCAGTGGGAGCAAGTGAGGAGAATGCCGTTGGGTGAGATACAGACTGCTGTGCCTGCTTCTTCCTGGGCAAAGACCAGAGTTGCCATGACTGATGAGGCTAGTCCTTTTCTTTCCATGTCTTCTGGGATATCAAGTGGTGTGTCTCTTAGTAATTGACGCTTCTTTAAGAGCAGCTGAATGCTTTTCTTCCCTAAGTCTTTGAGTTTGAGGCCGGCGTGGAGGACTTCTGGAAGAATATGCAGGCCTTCCACCGACAAGCCTGTCGTACTGTATTCAGGTTCCATGATGATAGAGTTAAGATTGTTGTTTGTAGTTTGGGATAGTCTCGAAGAGGCGGCCGCTGCTTCGTCCAATCTCGCTGTTTGTCTCGTCCTCCTGGTTGAGACTGCGGGTCTCCGTGTTTCCTCCATTATCACAATGCCGGGGAGGGGGTTCAGTAATGATATGAATCAACTGTAAAGAATCACCGGAGGATAACACCGAGTCGATGCTGAAGTATTAATTTGATAAGGCATTGGGCCGCAGGATTTGGACATTTCGAGGGCGGTGAGGCTGCTGCCTAATTTTACCGTGATTGGCTAGCCTCAACGGCACTTAGATCCGGAAGTGAAGTCAAAGTAGATATCAAACATTATTGGTTTGTTTTGCGGATCGAGAGCGTGGGTGGTTGGTATTTTATTAGCCATCAACCTGCTTCTCTGTCCATTCGCTAATAAGATTCTTGTAGTCCTCTGGGCCGTATGGTTCAGATGCCTCAGCAATCACGCCATTCTTCCTGTATACCTTTAACCCCAGATCGCCCACCAGCTGGTCGATATACGGCACAGCATCAAAAACAAAGTCTGGGAACTTGTCCCCGTGCCCGGCAGGGTACCTCCATTTGCAGAACCGACTGTGAAGCGCAGTCTCGTACCGCAGCTTTTCCATCGTCTCAGCACTTATTATGGCCTCGGTCACTGAGGGCATCTGGTCATGGAAGTAGGCGTCGATCCATAGTGATTGCACGTGGGAGATCATCGCCACGGTGAAATTCATCAACACGCCCGCGAACGCAATGTCGCGGTGCGCCAGCAGCTTGGCCGATGGCGGTACCATGAAGCGATGGAGCACGTACGGCGTGAGGGGTGTATACGGGTTGACGGCCTCTTTTGTCGAGATGCCTTCATCCTCGACGAGTGCCTTAAGCTTCTTGTTCTGAACAGGCTGATCCTTGAGACGCGGCCATTTCTCGAAAATTTCCTTGTCGATAGTTTCAATCATCTCGGCGGGCGGGAAACTTTCTGCAGAAGGCTTGTGCGGGAGACCGAGCTCCTTGTCGATGCCTTCGGGCAGAAATTTTATAGGCTGGAATTGCTTCCACCCGGTTGCGCAACAAAGAACGTCTGATGCCAGGGAAGAGCCGTCGGAAAGGTGGACGGTGCCTGGCGATAGCCTCACCAGGTCGGCAATATGCACCTTTACTGTCCCGTTGCGGATGAGATCGAAGAAATCCGTCTCGTAGTTCAGAATAGAGAAGCTGGAAGCCGTAAACATGGCCTCGCTCCACGGTTTCAGCTTCTTCAGCTCCGGGTCCGAATCAAACCTGTTCAGGGTAATGACATCGTTGCCGAGGACGCTCCAGAAGTTATTGGTGATGCCGCGGCCGATCGCCGTGCCGTGATAAAAGTTCCTCGTCTTGACGTATCCATCGGCGTCGCCCCAAGAACAGGGACTGAACCATGTAAGGGCGCGTGTATGAACGAGCTTTTCTAGCCACTTCTTCAAGGGCGTGACATATGGGGGAGCCATCCATACTGGACCATGTCCGGATTCTACATTCTATTAGCATTGGTTGTAATGATTTTGCGGTGGTCATCTCGAGATACCTCTAATCACCCAATTCACCTTGATGCCCTTGATCGCGTAGGCGTATACGAGATCCCACGCTGATTTGGTACCACCAAATACCGTCACGGATTTTGCTGATTCCAGAGTGTCTGCATGCTGAAGAAAGTCTTTGCTGTGGAAAATAGGGGCACCAAACGTCTCTTGGCCTTTGAAATCGGGGAGGAAGGCTTCTGAAGTGAGACCAGTTGCAACAACTAGCTTCTTTGCGAGGACCTGAACCTCGCCACCGTCCTCGCCGTTCACAAGAGTCAGGACCCAGCCGCCGCTCTCTTGATGCTCCGCCGAGAGAAGCTGATGCTTGAAGCGGATCTTGTCAAATATGCCAAAGGTCTCGGCGTACTTTAACAGATAGTCATGCAGCACTTGGCCGGGAATGTGATCTCCGGGCAAGATCCCGAAGGTCTCCGGATCCATGGGGAAGTCGGGGTACTCGTAGGTTCCGAGCATGTTGTTGCTCTTCAGCCCCGGGTAGAGACGGTGCTCGGCCCATACTCCGCCGGCGGTCGAGGCTTGCTCAAAGAGTGCCAGCGAGTGTTGGGGATGGAGCTGGTGGTGAGTCTTGGCCGCCGCTAGACCGAACCATCCTGTAGACTCGGCTTCAGATTGTGACCTTCGTTGGTGGTTTAGGGGGATGTTACTCACCAGCTCCGATAACGACGAAGTCGAGAGTCTCCATTGTGTAGAGCGGGATCGGTTCCGAGCCCCCGAGGTCGATGCTTCTGAGACAATTGGACAAATATTTTTTCGAGGCGTTTATTTCGAGGCGAAGATCCCACCAGTGCGGGAAAAGGGTTGGGCATGCCTTCCTCGCATTCTGAATTGCGAATAAGCACTAGAATTCTGTCAGAACCCCTGGCCTGCAGACGAACATGGGAATATTGGGTCTTTCTTGGCCAGCTGCATTAATGATTGATTTGGCGTTGGTTGGTCTTCTGGCATCTGCATCCTTCGTGGATTTGGGTTCCATACCCGAATGGCCAACATTGAGTGCTGATTCGTCAATGGTCGGGAATTCTGCATGCCCCCCTTGCTGTTTCCATCTCCCACGGCATTTATCAATTCTTCAAGAAGTTGTCCATCAATTTGCCGGCCGGCGACTTGCAGTGGAGCAGCATTGTCCGAGTATGAGCATCCTGCTAGCCGAAAAATAGCGGCACAAATAGTGATCAAGGCTCAAAGAATCCCGTACCTATGAAGGATCTGGATGGGAACTGCGCTCAGGCGGAGTCAAGGATGCCCTGACGTCTAGACCCAGCCGGAGGCGTTCCCCGGATGACAAGTTACTGTTAGTACAAAGATAAAGACCCACTGAACTAGATGGGATGGCAGCAGGGCCGTTGACTCGTGGTGGACTCATGGCGGAGGAGGACTGCCTGTCACGTCTAATTCGCCGGTTGCGCAACACTGACAATTTGACAAGGAGGCTGTTTATGGCAGATCGAACTGCGTCGGTTTGGGAGGTTTATGGTCATGACCAGCATAGAGGTGAGTAAGGATGCTTTTTGACTGCAAGACGATGAAGTTTGCTGAAGCCAGATGCTCGTGCCGAAACAATGTTTCTCCAGGATGAACCCCTTGGGGTACCGTCGCGGCGGTACGTAGTTTAACAACCTCAAGACGGTTTAAACCTATGGGACGGTAAAGTGCAACAAGTCATCCATTTTCGGGATACAAGCACGACCACTAAGCATCTCTGTCCGACTGTCGCTGTTCTATTGGAGACTTCTTCAACGCAGGTACCACTCGTCATTCTGAAGATATCCACAGTCGTTGACACGGCTCGCAAGGGTCCTATCCCCGGCGCCGCGCTTTCTGACCCCATGTGTTGGCCCACGGCCATGTAACCCTCGCGAGTCAAGGCCGTGCCCCTGGCCCATAACACTTCTGGCCAACGACAGACTAACAATTCGACAGGGCTGCTAGTTGATGTTCGGAACTTCCGTAATATCAGATATGGTGTAAATGGTCACTCTTCTGGAACACAAGACTCATGTCAAGATATCTAGCAAAAGATCACGAAAATATGACCAGTATTTAGGCCTGGAAAAGGGAAAGGGGTAAATTAACTGAGATGTCACAGACAAGTTAAAGCCTGGTTCTAAGGCGATGGTCGCGCAGGATAGCTCCAGCGCTGAAGCATAAGCATGGATGTGCTTTCAAGAGGGTCGTGTTTGCCTTGCCATCACGCTGAGCTAATGATCTGCCGACATTGTCTACGTGCATTAGCATTGGGATTGGTCGTATTGGGCATCATTATGGTGGCAAAGGCCGACGCTTGACCATATCGGTAGTCTGGACCTTCGACGAGCCGCATCGATGTCGGCCAGAAGTCTGTTAGCTTTCGATCAAATGCCATCAAGATAACATATCCGTATCCGTAGAAGGGGGTGCTTCACCAAGCAAGCGGCGTGCGGGACTTGCAACCGCCGTTAGTGCTTTCTCCTGAACATAGCGGCGAGCCCATTTCGGCAACTTATCGTAATATGGAATAGTCCACATGCTGTCTCAGCCTCTCTGCCTGACAGCTGGTTGATTACCTATGCACTCCGTACAATTATGTATCCGTACAGCAGACAATTGACCGGCGCAAAATCTACTCTAAAATTGGCCGGGGATTCCAAGTCGCTGGCCCGGGCTTCTTATCGTCCGAACTCCTCGCGCTTGTTCGTCTCAATCATCACCTTCATCATCATCACCGGTTCCGTCAGCCGTGTGCAACCAAACCACCCACTAGCTATTCGCACGTACTTTGGGTTTGCTAGGGCATGTAGTTTGTGTTTCAGCGAGGGGAACGGATATGCACGTAAGCGCACCCTTTCCCAGCACTTCCCACGAGCCGCCCATGCCGCTTGTGTCCAAGTCAAAGTCTCCGCGGTGACGGGGGAATGCGACATAAGTATCGACATGCGTACGCCTCCCATCCAATTCCGGGACCCCGGTACCTTGCCCTTGCTGGGTTCATTCTGTAGTAGCTGCGATCTGCATAGCTGAAAGGCAGGGCCCTCGACGACCTATTCCCCAAAAGTCTTATCTGGGTTTCACTGCTATATACCTTGCCTGCTCTACGGAGTACTCCACCTGGCATTACTCTTGAAGACGACTTTTCCCCTTCTTCTCTACTCCATGCTATTAGACTCGTCGACTTCCTGCACCACGCGGGGTATCCGGTTGACATGATCCCAACGACATGTCCGAATTCTCGACAGAAGCTTTCGCGCTTCTTGGCGTAGCCATCGCCGTCATCTTCTTGAGGACCTATGCGCGAATTGCCGCTGTTGGCTTCAAGCGTCTGCAGGCAGATGACTATCTCATGCTATTTATCATTGTAAGTCTCTCGATAGCTGTTGACCGGTATGAGTACGAGATACTGACTGGAATGCATAGTTCACGTACTCCGCCGAGACTGCTTTGGCGTACAGCGTCGGAGCGCATTGGAAGGGACTCGCCAACAATGGCATGACGGATGAGGAGCGGAGAACTTTGGACCCAAACAGCGAAGAATATTCGACAAGGTAGGCGATGAAAAGTGCTATGTTTTGAGGCAATGGTCTAATATCATACTCGCAGGGTCAACGGATCGAAGACACAAATCGCGGGATGGATTACTTACAGCTGTCTCGTCCTCTGGCCTGCAAAGGCTGCAATGTGCACGTTTTACCTGCGCCTAACAGTATGGAGCCCGTAAGAAATCAATCATGCGCTTTCAAGCTGACGAGTCGCTCAGGAGGGATTGCATAACTTTCGCAAGCGGATCATCGCGGGTTTCGTTCTGATCGCGATAACATGGCTGGCAGTATTGTTTTCCATCACCTTCAGCTGCTTTCCGATAAGCAAAAATTGGCAAATCTACCCAGACCCTGGCAGTAAGTACCGCATAACTCTCTCATATGTCAATGACTAAAGGGCAGCCAGACTTTTGCCAGCCGGCCATTTCAAAAGTCAACATCATCGTCACCGTCTGTCTCAATGTCATCACGGATTTCTACCTGCTAAGCATACCGATACCGATGCTGTGGAGCGCCAGGCTACCCCTGAGACAGAAGCTCGGCCTCATTGTCCTGTTCTCGGGAGGTATCTTTGTAACTATGGCTGGTATCCTACGCTGCGTGCTCATCATCACGGTAGGCCAATCCTCATGTGATACATACGGGACTCGATGGCTGACTTGTGCGCATCGTAGAACCCTGTCACAGGAGCGCAGCAGGCAGGTTCGTGGGCCGTCCGCGAGACCTTCGTCGCAATTGTCACCACCAACATCCCGATGATCTTCCCCCTACTTCGACGCTGGCTTACACCCATCTTCGGCTCCATATCGAGTACCCTATCACGAGGTGGCACCAACAACAAGTACGACAAGCCTAACCGTTCCGACCTACCGGCGCCCGGGAGCATCATGCTTGGAAGTGTGACTGAGGGCAGCAGTAATAAGAAGAAGAACCGGCCGCCATACACGCAGTATCCGATTACAGAGTTTACGATGTCCGGGAGCGAGGAGCACCTGAATAAGTCGCCACCTTTGCCGGGAGGCATCAGCAAGAATGTGGAGATACATATCAAGGAATCGAAAAGGGCTAGTGAGAAAGATACATCGAGTACAGACAGCAATATCGAAGGCCGAGACGCATACTTTACGGTCGAGGTGAATGGAGTTGAGAGGCCAAAAGCAACGAGGAGTAAGAGCTATCGAGAAAGCATGCGATCTACGTTCTCAGCGGGCGGTAACAGGAAAGACGACGGCATTGTATAATATGCCTTAATATGGAATTAATCACATGATATCACCGCCGCATTTTTATAGTGATCATTCAAACGATTCAAACGCCAATAGTATGGAAGTGTTTGGTAAAAGGCGAAATGACTTGGGGTCGGCCACCCCTTTCGCTGAGCATTGCGTTGCTAATGATTGACAACGCCCTCGTGCACTGACTTGCCATAGGTTGAATATACCGGCGAGAGAGACTGGACAAGGGATCGTGACTTGAAGAGTTGAGAAAGTATGACTTTTGGCTCTTCTCTCCAAACGCAGTAGAAAACTTGCTTCACCTCCCTATCCAACATCATCCTCCTGGACTACAATCAACTCAAGTTCCTTCAATCCCTATACCATTTTTTTCTGCAGTTTAAAATAACTAGCATCGATCGCACCGTATCGGATCCATTCCACGATCTCAAACCCAGCAGTGGTTTTCGCGACAAAACGCACAAAACCTCCTCGCATCAACCACCACCACCCCGCCATTCCGATCTAACAGGTTCCTACAGAAACACTCCCCGCAACGACACCGCTGAGGCTGCCACGGGGTATCACACGTATCAACCCGCGAGGCCTGTAAAGCGGGAGGGGTCAGTATCCTGGCCCGAAGGTGCGGGTTGCTTGCCTGACGACTGAGGCGGAACGGCAAGGCGGGTAGATGAGCGTGTACTGAGGGCGGAGGTGGCGATGGAGACGGAGCCTGTTGTCGGCGCAGGGGTGGCGTCGGGGGTCGAGCTGTTGCGCTGCGGTCGTTCATGTCCTCTGAAGATGAGGATAGGAATGGAGAGGTGAGGGGGGATGATCCGGGTGTTGAGCGGACGTAGTCGGGGATGTGGTTCCGGGGGTGGCGGTGGCGATGGAGTTCCGGGGTTATGGAGTCGTCGCTGAAGGAAGGGGATTGTGATGTGAATGTTTCGGATGCGGGGGTCGGTAGGGACGTCCAGGACGACCCACTTACCCACTGGGTTTCGGGGAAGACTGGCGAGGGCTGCTCGTCGTTCTCGATGCTTGGGATGATATCAAATGACGTCTCTGTTGGTTCTTCTCTCTCGGGGCGTAGTCTGGACCTATGGGCGTCTCTCCATGGAGAAGGTAGATAATGGGCTGGGAGACGAGCGCGTTGTGTGGTCTCCCAGTACGAGGGGCCGGGAGGCCAGTGGATGTATGACTGCGTGCTGTGACTGTGCTCGTCATCGCTGTTGTCTCTGTCATATCTTGGCGCTGCGTAGCCCAGGTAATCGCATCGAGGATCTTCGAACGTCTCTTGTTTCTCATAGTGGGAGTTTGAAGGATGAGGTATGTTGCCAAAGAAGGGTGAGCCCTGCGACGGTGGAAATGGGCTGCGGGCCGGAGACGAGAGTTGAGGGTGACGGTTGCGGCGGTGGGTATACATCATGCCTCTGTTTGGCCGGTTTGACGGAGGCGTGTAGAGAATTCGGTCTCGTTCAGTATCTCGGGAATCAGTCAGAACTATAGTGCTTGATTTACGGAGGCATAACCATTAGGTAGGTAGGCTAAAGATCCTCTTTTGTATCATGATATCTCAGGAAATCAATAGCCAGTGATTCACAACAAAGTAGGACTCCCATGTGACAACGCGCTTTAACAAGCAAGACTTCGTAGTGATTAGGATATAACTACGGTATGCCAGAAGATTGATTCATCGTTTCGGTCGGGGGATCGGAAGTTTGGTTGTTGGTGTCACGTCAACCTGAGACTGCCTTGGTTTGCCGTATCGTCAGGCGTTAAGTATACTGTCAGAGACCCAGGTTTGAAGAGTGTTTGCATCCTACAGTTAGTCATCATGCTGCTATTGTTTGGGAGGAAAGCCCAGGGATCATCGCCAAGTTCATCGGCATCGAAGCAACCGGACATCCATTCCAAGCTTGTACCAGATGCTGGTGAAGTTGTGAGGTTTCAATTCGAGAAAGCATGTTAGCCAAGATGCAAGCGAAACTTATTCTTCTCTGTAGCATCGACCGTACAACCATCAGCTCCTACCCAAACGTTGTTCTTTGGCCTGATATGTTTCTTGATATCTGATGAGTGAGGCTCAGCATCATTGTACCGAACCCAACTATACATAGAGCTCGAATCAATTCGAAATGGATAGCTAAACCAACAGGACAGAGAACCCCGATGGAGGCGGTGAAGGTTTCTGTGCGGGGCTTCCTTCTTTGTAAAAATTCACCGAGGAGCACATCTCCCTGGCCTCACATTGCCCGCAAAGAGAAACTAAGAAAATCCCAACGAAGGTATAGATTATATAAGCTATAGACCGTTGCTCATTCTCGTTCGTTCATTACGTATTCGTTCCAATAACAATTCTCGATCATGAAAAGCAATCGAGTACTATAGACTGGCCTTTGTTCTCTTTCCTATTCTCTTTATTATTGTTCTTCCCAGGCTCCTTCCTATTCTCGTTCTCGTTCTTTTTCTTATTTGTTCGTAGCGTATTCGTTATAGTAGCAATTTATAACAATTCTTTAAAGTAGTAGACTACTATAGACCGATCCTCATTCTCGTTCCTCTGTTAAGTATTCGTCCCCACAGTAACTCAGGACAATCAAAAGCAAATCAACCCAACGAACTCACCCCTAGCTAGCACATCCTCTACCACCTCAATCTCTACACTTCCAGTGCCGAACGCCCCAATGGCCCCGATGAATCCTGACCCTGCTGACGACGAGAGCGACCCTGAGCTGTTCGTCATGCAGGACTTTGTGCCAGCACCGAACCTCACGAAACCACGGATTCAAATACTGAGAGCTTCCCCCTTCCCGTCCACCCCACCCCCGCCACGGAGCGACCGCCTCGGGCCCCACCAACCCCGCAACACCCCGGCTGCGCCTCCGCCCCACATCGGCAGACGACCACGGCCCCCCGAGACGAGGGAAATTTTCGGTCCTTACTCCGGGAACATGACGTCAGCGTCTACTCTTCGGATTTTGCGCTCTCGGGCTCTGGCCAAACGTCGGGCTGGGTTCATCGCAGTCTCGTAAGAAAAAATGCCATGGAGTTTCCGGCTGAAGTATCAGCCGATGTGTCCGCAATGTTGTGCGTTTGTCACCAAATACCGCTTCTATACCTATAAGCCCCACCTCGTCACCTGTAATCGCTTCTTGCTCATCATTTCCTTATCAAGCATACAATGTTCATCTAGAGATAAAATTGAAATCTACAGAAAGGCCATATTCATTCCCCTCAAGTATGTGCACAGAATAGACAATACAATTACCACAAACCTCGGCCGTTCAGTAAGACGTCTCTTTTGCTCGTTTCCGTCCGAGCATGTCAAGACCCATGCAGGTATCGCTGTCATGATGCATATAACCACACCCAATGCAATGCTATGCTGCTTTCACAGTCTATGCCGTCCTCATCACTCTCTCGTCTACTTGCGTCCTCTCGGCACCGTGCTCTCTGCAAATCGGATGCCTCTCCTCGTCGGGGGAACTCTCTCTCCACCTTCGTCATCTGAATCATCATCCTGATTTGAGCCGAGCGCAGCCTCCCTACGGCGTCTCTCAGCAGGCGTCTCTCCGCTGTCCAAATCCTCCTCGCTCTGGTTCGACAGAACCGCCAGTCTGCGCTTCTTCTCAGCAGCCGTCTCCTCGTCACCCTCGGCGTCTGCTTGTTGCGCGGGTGCCGGTGGCAAGGCTGGCGCCGTGTTCACCCGCTGAGGCGTGAAAGAGCCAGAACGTTTCTCGTTGGAATCGCTTCCAATCTTGATGGTCGGAATGTTGGCATGTCTGTCAGCCGGCGAAGGAATATCTCCCTTTGCAATTGACTTTACGCGCTGAGAAGCAGTGGACTGGTCCACAACCTGTCGCCGGGTCTTGTCGTCGAGCTTTTGAACTTCACGAATGAAGTCCTCCTTTGTCATGCGCTGGCCAACTCCACCAATCGTGAATCTGATGTGTCGGTCATCCTCCTTTTGACCTTCTGCAGCGTTCTTCGCGTTGCCGGCACCTCCGCCCAGGTATTTCTGCCATCCTGACTTTGCAGGTGTCTTCGCCGTGCCGTCGGCGCTTGACTCTCCGTTGTTTTCGTCTTCAGCCGCAGGCTTCTCCGATGCTTTTAGAAGACCTCCCATGCCAAGGTACTTAAGACTTTGCTGGGTAAGGCCTGTTCCAGGTTCCTTGGGAGCCTTTGACGATGGCAATTCGTAAGTCTTGATAACTTCTCCATCCTCATCTTCGACAATAATCTATGTACTTGTTAGTTTCTTTTCTCGTCCATCACCAATCTGGAGAAACTCACGGTATTGCCGAACTGGAAGGCTCGAGCTGGCTCATGCCGTCTATCGGCTTTGCTCTTCTCCTTGCGCTTCTCCACTTCTGACGTGTACACATCCCCGACCTTCTTTTTGAACGAATCCAGGGTCCAGTTGAACTTTTCACCTTGCTTTGAATGGGCAGCCGCAATAGCCGACATGTCGGTTTCGACTGGTACGCGATGATGAGCTTCAGCCTCCGCAACTGCCTCTGCTCTACTTTCAGAGCGCTCGACAGTCAGCACGTCTCCATCCTCATTCTCGACCACCAAGTTGTCTCCTTCCTCGTAGATGGAAATCTTGGGTGGCGTTTGCGTTCTGCTAGATCCCTCATCGGGGGATGGTGTGATCTCGTCGTCGTCCTTCTCCGGGTCTCTCGCGCGACCTCTTTCAGAGTCGCGCCTAGGGGTCGTAGTGCCTTCGGCGTCGGGTGATTGAGGGTCCTTCTCGTTGAGGAGCGGCTCGCGTTTAGTGGGGAAGATGGCGGATTGGGAAACAGGTCCGCCGGGCCCGATGCCATCGTCCCACTTGTTCTTCTTGCTGCTGCGTTTCCTTGAGGTTGATCGAGCGCGAGACTTCGTTCCGTCTTCGTCTTTTTGACGTCTCAAGAAAGCGCCAGGGAAGCCTACTGGGGGTAGAGTGCCGGGCGGGAACTCGGGCATCTTGAGCTCTTCTCCTTCGGTGTCGGACATGGTTCGGGCTTGCGATCGAGATTGCGACGAGATTCTCGGCAGGCGGTTCATCCAGGTAGGGCCGTCTTCGGGGGCGGTGGTGTAGGACATGGTGATTGTCAACGTGTTGATGCGCTTGCCGAGAGTAAACACGGCAACGGATGAGCCATGAACAATGATGGACGAAATGACTAGGAATGTCACGATGGGCCAGATGACCGCAACGAGTGTTCTGTGTTCGATATCTTCCGGCGGGGTGTCGGAAAGCGGCACGGGCGTCTCCCACTGCAACTCAGCGCGAGCTAGAATGGCGACGAAAATGGCACCGACGCCGATGGGACCAAAGTGACCAGCGAAAACTGCCTCACGCCAAGTTTTGATGTCCGGTATGAATGGCTTCAAGATAAGCATGGCGGGAATGCGTCGGAACAAGATGACGAAAATGGCGATTACAACCAAGCGCCAGGGGGTGATACCCTCAGCGACGTTGTTGTACTGTTCCCAGGGGATGATGGTTCCGAGGAAGACGAAATATGCCAAATTGATCAATAAATCGATGACGTTGGACACGTGAGATTCTTCCGTCTTTGAGGAGAACCAACCGTCGTTTGAGAAACCTACACCGGCAGCGAAGCCGACTAGTAGATCGTCCATACCGAGCAGACTACCAGCACCGGCACAGAACAAAGCGAGCACGAAGTAGAAGACCAGGAAACTCTCCCGATCAATCAGATCGCGCTCCTCTGCAAACTTGATGCCGTGACGTGCGATGTAGCCAACGAGGAAGCCGAAAATGGCGCCAAAGATGCACTCATAGAGAATCGTGTAGACAATCCAGTGAAATGTCGTTTTCCGGGCATCCATGTGCTCCTGGATCAGGTAGATTCCGAGGTAGACGAAAGGGAAGGCCATGCCGTCGTTGCAGCCGGACTCTGCCGACAAAAGATCTCGCAAATGCTTGGGAACTCGCTTGGCGAATTTGCCCTTACCGACGACGGAAGAGGCCAAGACAGGATCGGTAGCAGTGACACAGGCGGCAATGACCAAACTCTCAAGCCAAGATAACGGGTCAATGAGCCACCAGATGAAGAGACTGACAATGAGCCAGCCAAACATCATGACGGGGATCAGCAGAAGAGTGACGGATCTCCAGTGCTTCTCCATGTAGAACTTTGGCAATTCGACACCGACGGCGAAACATTGGACGACGAGAACAATGCGGGAGAATTCGATGGTAACCAAGTCGACATTTCCCCAACTTTTCGGGTCGATCAGATTGGCGGCGTGGGGGCCAAAGATAATACCACAGATGGTGGCAACGGTAGCTTCACCAATGTACATCTTCTCCTTGATGATAGAGGAGCACAGCATGAAAAGTGTGGTGAAGCCGCCCAAGATGATGTACACCAAGTGCGGCTTGGTGATTGAGAGGTGATCCCACGCCATGGTGGCGGAATTGGGAGGTTATCTCTATGTGTGGGTGTTTATTCGGTTGGCGTTGGTAGAATACTAGGAATTCGTCGCAAGCCGTGTTACTTGGGGTCGCTCAACCGCCGGCAGCAAAGGGAATGTAAGCTGGGCCTGGCGAAGGGCGCGAAACTCCCCAGTCAATGGATTGCGTCCCGAGAGCGAGGATGGCTCGATGCATTCGAGGAAAAAGTCGGCGTGCCAAGAGGCAGATGGGCCTAAGGTAAGGAAAGGATCGGGTGGTGTCGAATCGAGTCGAGTCGAGGAAAGTGAGAGAAGCGGATACAAAGTCTGGGAGCTATGAGGTCACCAAGCGGGTGTTGCCTCTTGGTGCGCGTTGATCGGCTTCTTGTGCGCCTCGTTCGGGATTGCGACTTCTGGGGGAAGATGTCGCGACAATGGACGTCCTGGAAACAATGTCGACGAAATCTCGGGTCAGTATCGATAGACCTCGAGGGTTTACATGAACAAAAAGAGCGACAGAAACTAGGAAAAGCTTCGGGGTTCATGGAACCTAAGTATGTCGCAGGGAAAAGACAGCCAAGATGTTGGCGTACTGATAGCAGAGGATGATCCATGCAAGAAAAAAAGCCAGGCCCCGCTTAGCGCCAGTTGGTGGGGGGTACCACTGGGGCGTGGACCTGGCAAGCCTGGGGGGCAATACCTAGGTACCTGGAAGGCAAGCCGCAAGTGGGAGAGAAAGAACCATTTTCTGCTCTTTTTTCCCGGGCTGCGTTCCCAGTGGTTCTTGCTGTCCGCCGTCGGTGGGAGGCGCATGGCGGCATGCCTTGGGGGGGGTTTGCTTACGTTGGTGTCTATTGTCTGGTACCTCGAAAGTACCGACGGGATAGTCGTCGTCCTTCCATTGCGGCTTGCCGTACAGAGTAAACCTTGCCAATCCATCACTCGAACGGTGCCGGTGCCGTCTTCCGGCTGTATTCTGCCCGCACTTGACTTGCTACGTCTATAAAGTTCAAAGACAGACATTCATCAGCTTGTAGGGGATGCGAATCCGCGGAATAAGGTTGCCTCAGTGGTGGCTCACTGGCTCTACCGATATCGCGCCTCAGATTTGGGTTCGTCTGGCAGGGTTGATCAGGTTGCGTACTACGTAGGTTCTTGATGTCTGCTCATCTACACTAGACGCCCTGCGGATGAACCATGCCTGATTACGGGCTAGTCTTGTCCCGGCTTTTCAAGTAGCACGCACACGCCCTCGGATGCGATGCGATACGATAGGGACTAGGGAGCACGTCGTGTGAGACATGCTGCCCAGAGCCACGTTCCACTGCAACGGGCCAGATCCTTCTCTGTGTGCAAAGCACCTTGTTCTGAAATCCGCGTCTTCCATTGTTTTGGTGACCGGCACTCGGGACCGATGGGAATGCGACACGCATACTTCTCACACATTGCAGCGCCATTATGCGCTGGGGGCAACTGAGAGGAAGTTCGAAACTCCAAGAGGATAACAAAGGAGCCCAATGACGAGGGTACAGATGATAGTGTAGTGTCAGCGGTGCTCGGTTCCAGACGGTGAATGGCCCATGTATGCCAAGCGGCTCAAAACAAGGATGTACCCAAAGTGACCGACTTGTTGCCATGACTGGCCGCGTGGTGTCGTAATCACCCCCGGGAGGCGGTTAATCTCTTTTGTCGCACAGAAAAAAGTCGCATACGGAGAGACAGGGTTAGGATGACATGAGATAAAGCGCCGTTGGGCGGAGTCGAAAACTTGAGCCTCTTTCTGCCGGGTTGAGCGACGGACGGTGTCGCTTGTTGATTGACTTGATATCAGTTCACCGATACGTCTTGCAGTAACCCCTCATTCGCAACGCATGTCGTTGAAAACCCCAGATTTCGGATCTGGTGTATGCACCGATTTGCCATGGACTATCTGTAAGGGTCCATTACTTGTGTCAATCCTACAGAGTCTTGTCCTTCTTGGAGTCTCTTGACGAACCGTTGGCAAAAGCTTGACCGGTGTCTTTTTGGTGCCATTTTGACAGTTCTTGGTGAGTTTGTGCGACTTGGATTGGGTCTCCCAAGGCTCCAAGCATTGGCGGCGTGATTTTGTGCCGCGAGGTTGCTGGCCAAGCCAGTTCGCGAGATCGCCAACTCCATTTGGAGGCTCGGCGCCCAGAGGAGGCGGCGTCACCGCCCACTTTTTTTCGGGTTGTCGTGGAGAGGCTGGCTCGAGTCATGACTGTGTTGTTGATATGTTGTATCTGTCGGCAGCTTGAATCCTGCACACAGTACTGCTATAACGTCAAATGTAATCGGAATTTCTCGAAGCGTCTGGTCGTCAAGTGTGGTGATGATAGTGTGGTGCTTTCTTGGTGAGGTTGAAGAATGGTACGTAGTGACATCTGAGGTGAGGTGAGGTGAGGCGAGGCAAGAAATAATGGAAGGATGCCGAAGTTCCTCCACATTCGTCCCGTTCCTTCCCTCGTCTTTCTAAGTTTCTGTGTGAGGAAAGTGCAGTCGGCACAAGACTGAAGGTACTTCCGGGATACTTCCGCACGGTTCCCACTGCGACTGCCATTCCACACTTCCACTCCAGTCTCCAGGTCCTCAGCCAGCCAATCCACAGTATTGTTTTTTCCTTCAGGTTCCTTCCCACTGCCACTAGGAAGATTTGGACCCTGGTCTCGTCGCAATGTTTTTCTTCCTTTCTTTTTTTTTTTCTGCCCGTCCCTTGCTCCGCCGGAGAATGACAAGGTGACAATCAACGCCCGTGTTATTGCAGTCGCTCTCGCTATCCATGACAATAACAACTGCTGGTATCCGGTCCAGGAAAACGAAAACTCTACTCCCTGACGGCACTCCAAGAATACCTTATCTCCTGACTAGCGACAATCAACCTGAATACAGCACATCAGCTGCGGCTGGCCTAGGATTTCTCAACAATTTGTGCAAAATTCAAATACATAACATCAACAATTCCAGTGAGACGTCGCACTCGCCGGGGCTGCCGGGCCTCTCTCGGAGTGGCCTGCACTCAATCGATTGCTCACTCGCGCTCTCTTCAAGCTACCTTGCTATGTTAGTAGGTACTTTGGGAGGTGGGCATGCCACGTTCCGCCTCGATTTCTCACTCTCCCACCACCCTCCGCCCTCCTCCTCCGCGGTCCGCCAGACTTTCGCGGCACTCCATCCCCCAGGCCCGTCCTCCTTTTCCCCCGTACCCGCCAATAGCCTTTTCGTCTCTTCATCTCTAGCCACGCCGTCTCACATTAGCCAACAGCCTCGCTTCGCATCGTTTGGTCCGAACATCCCATCCTCGCCCTCCCAACTCATCTTCTTGGTAATGTCTATTGTTCCCCAGGACAAGCACGTATTCAATCGCAAGGAGCCCGCACCAATCATGGCTTGACCTACTCAACTACTGCATGCCCATCCAACCCTCAGAAGACTGCCCTGCTGTAACCCCTCCTCTCTCTCTCTCTCCCCTTCCCACCCCTCCAATTCGCTCACATGCGCCGCGACGTCACCAATCCCTTTACCTTCATTCGCCCATGATTCAGCAAGCCAAGAGTCTAAGTCAACGACCACCCGCGATCTACTCGTCACTCCGCATATTCGGTCTACGATGCGTCTTCTGAGTCTTGACAGGCCAATCTTTTCCCTGACGAACTCCTTCTGCCCCGTTTTCCCACTCATACTAGTCGACAAACACCCTTGCCTCTCTCCATCACTCTATTTGCACTAGACCTGAAGAACCCAGACTCGCTGCCAAAAGCTTGCGCGAATAGCGCACTACACTTCACCTTCCTGTTTGACCGTACTACGGATTGCTTGGCTGCAGGCAAAGAACACAGCAATGCTTGGTGTTGACGCAACACGAGTCGAAGAACTGTTTCCACCCATCGTTTCCTCATGCCCGCACACTTCGGTTGACGGAACTCTCTGTTTTGTCTGTTTACGCTTTGATGTTTGCTCATCCTTCTTTTGTAACGTGCATTTTGCTTGGGTTGTGTCACCGCGGATGACTGATTCTCCACAAGCTGAACCAGTCTCGGCACACGGATGGCGCCGTTTGGGCCAACTGATCAGCCCTGCATGGCCGTTCCGGTGCCGCCGTTCGGCCGTTGACCGTAGAGGCATTGTCGATCTTGGCCTTTTGCGTTTCGTGCAGCAACCATTCCCAGTCCCATCAACTGAAGTTATACCGGATCTCTCTCTCAACTCTCAACTCTCCCCGCAACAAGTCTGACTTTCAGACCAGACTCAGCTGTGCATTTCTTACGTTCCACTGCCTTTCCTGAACATTTTCCGCCTTCATCGGCCCGATGATGGGACCCCGCTTCGGGGACTCGGACCCGCTGAGGCCTGGAGATCTCATTCAGCCCTCACTCATCCCCACAACTAACCCACATCCCTCGAATCATCGCAATAAATCCCAGACTTCGCTGCAAACCAGCAACTCACTTCGAGGTAAAATTCATCACTTAAGCGTCGATGGTTTAGTGGTAAAATTCTCCGTTGCCATCAAGCAGCGTCGGGGAGCCGGGGGTTCGATTCCCCCTCGACGCAATCTTTTGCTTTTGCATGATGTTCAGAAGCCTTTTGCTCAAGGAAATATATCATTCCCTGCTGGTAGAGCTCTATCATTGTATCTGTGTACTTCGTCTGACTTGCATGAGCTTACTTCAGTTGCCAATGCCTTTGCAGAAATGTTTGCAACACATTGGTGACTTCTCCAGTGAAGGCAGTGAGTTGATTAGGGTTTCCACCTTCTACAGACATAAGAGTAGGCTCTCTGACTGAATCATTCATAACATGTTTGGGTCAGAGTGGTTGTAAGTCATGAAGAGAGACTCACGCAAATCTCTATTACCATCTTTATCGCAGCCTCCTCTAGGAATGATTTTGTTTGACTCTCTTGTAATGCTGCGGCAATGCCTCAAGTAATTCTGAAGCAAGGTATATAAGTATGAACACGGAACTCGGTTAGAACCAATAGGACTCTCATCATCGAAGCAAGACGTAACAGACAACAGACAGACACAACATCATCGCAAAGACAACCAAAATCAGGAAGTCAAGCAAGAGACAACCTCCACAATGGCCAAAGGCAAAATTTTCAAGAGCAGACGTCGCGTCGAATTGAAAAGGGAGATTGAAGAAGAACAGCACGGATACTATGACGCCGCCCCAAGCTCAAGCCAGCAAAGCCAAGGCAGCATCGGCGGCACCAACGAAGACAGCGGCGTCCCCGGCCCACACCAACTCGTCTGGCCCTTCTCCTACGCGGTACTCCAAGCCCACGCGGCCAGCCAGAGCGACGGCGGCGCGAGGCTTCTCGAGGATGCCAGGTGGAAGTGCTGCAACTGCGGCTATTACAATGCGATGCCCGCACGCGGGTTGAGGCTGATGCACTGCCGGAACCCTGAGGGGTGCGTGGTGAACCCGGGGACTTTGCAGGTGCACGCTGGACCTGCTTCGTGTTGTGCGATTGTTGGGCCCGAGGGGGCTTGGACGCCGATGGATGTCTTGGATTTGAGGTTTCGTAGTGAGGAGGCGATGATGGGGGCGAGGGGAGATTGATGATATTGGCAGTGCTTGGAGCTATGATAGAGTTACGGTAGCCTAGGTAGTAGTTAGTTTGATACCCAATTTTGAACACACTCTTTATTGGAAGGATCATGAGTTTTCTCAGTCTCAAGGTTCAACATGTCCCAATCTATGTCTAGGTAGATGTGACCATATGCTATGGTTCGGGTTCATGGTATAGTTGCACAGTACGCCCACGCTTGCGTAAGTATAGGAGTTATTAGTATCGACATGCTCATGCCTGTCCTCAACGAGACTTGGCTGATGAAGTTTGATTGAGCCAGATTTCACAGCCAGACCTTGTAGGTGAGTTACTCCGCCTGAGTCTCTCGACGTCTGGAGGCAATTGAGGCCTTGCGCACCTACTAGACGCTTATCGAGTTATTCTTGATGGTGCTTGCGCGAGCTTTCCTGATGTTCGGCTTAGAAGAACAGTCGTTGATCTAAGTGCTTGGTTGTGACGCGCGATGAGTGTGAAGTACTTGCAACACGAGTCTCTGAGTCTTGGGGGAACCGGAGAAGATGTCAATAGCTAAAGAATTTTCCTGAATCACATTGATGCCTTCTCAAAAGTCGAACTACAAATATCGCGAGGATGAACGCCGACATGACAGACCTGGAACTCAGTCTTCCACCTACACGAAACCCAACTCAAACCATTGCTCAGCCACAATACATAACCTGAATAATATTTCGCTTTCCCATCCACCAAGATGTCTCTCTGTATGGTCCCTCTAACACTACAAGAATTCGCATCTCTAGACCCACCCGAAGTCTTCCGGGAGTACTGCCTCTGGACATGCTGCCGATGCTTCACGGACAGAAACCGCATGCCGGCCGAGCCCGCGACCCAGGTCTGTCGAAATGACGGCGACCGGCCCTGCTCTTGTGGTTATGAGCGACACGGTATCCATGTTGGGCCGTGTCAGTGGTGCGTGGTTTGGATGCCTAGGTTACTCTTGTTGGCTTGTATGAGGGCGGTTGAGATTGATGAGGTCAGGATGTGGTGAGGATGGGAGAGGACGTCTCGCGGTTACAAGGTTTGAGACCCGTACAGTAGAGAGGGTTATGACAGAGAAAATCCCGCATCTGATAGTATAGTCATATGAACACAGTCATCTTGACAATGGAATGAGATTGGCTTAGCCGATCATCGACTGAGTATCATTTGAGGAAACCCGCCTCCACCACCGGTCCATACTGCAAATACTCCATCAAAGCCTAGGGAGTGTCAGGTTCACCAACCGATAAGATGTGATAGAATGACCGCTTCGTCGCCAGTTGTCGTGCGCTCTCGTAGGTGCTGCTACATCTACTTGTGTGATCACGTTCAACTTTCCCCAAGTAATCAGGAAGAAAACCCAGAAGGACAGTGATGAGAAGCGAGACTCTGACTGTTGGTTGCCTCTCCTTGTCGTCTAAGCCTCCTCCACCTCATGAACTCATCGTCTGATGTCTTATTTGCTTGGGGCCAACATCACGTTGCAACCTGGTGGCCGAAGCTCATTCACCAGAACGCAATATGCTAGGATTAAATTCCTCTGAATCACTGCCTTTCTACCTCCTCATGTCAACATCATCTCCTTTGGGTTGGCTTGAGAATGAGATAAATACTGATCCGGATCCTGACTTTCAGTATTTGGATCCCTCTCCCATAGTATCTTTCTCACTTACACAGCGAACCTCCTCTGATATCATCAGGTAATTTAAAACGTAAGAGCGACTTAACATCTTGAACACTAAATATCTCGAACTGCCACCATGGCGAAACTCCAGAAGATCAGGATGCCAGTCTTTTGGAACAGTAACCGCCCGTGGAATCTGAAAAGACGGTGCTGGTGGACTTGTTGCAAGTGCGGTACCAGGAACGAATTCGAAGAGGGCCACACCTTGACACAATGCCGGAAAGCGGATTGCCCTGGAGGAGACGGTCCACATTGGGGGCCTTGTAGTTTCTGCTCGGCATGGGAGCCGGTGAACCTCTTGGGATGAGGAGTGATATGCTACTATAGCCGTCTTCGTCATCGACGGCGACGACGACGGCTATAATAGAATAATCTCTAGGGGTTGCCAGTGACAGGCAGTCCGTAGGTTGAATAAGTCTAAGTCTCAGGCACTTGAGTAGTGGAGTACTCATTCGGTACCTCAGAGATAGAACGTAGTCTGAAGTTAGCAAGTAGTTTGAAGTTAGTAGTTGGTCTGAAGAAAGTCCAATAGTCTTGATTATTAACCGCATGATTCACATCTCGGAGCGTTTGTGAGACAACTTATCAATCGGCAGAATTCACCATGAGAAGTTGAAGAAAATAAGTCGAATTATCTGTCAAGTACCAAAAATCACAACCTCGGATCCCTCATGCACATAGCAACCATGTAGTAAGAGCCAGATCTTCACCATAAATTTCTTCCAGCCAGTCATGTACTCGAAAATTGAGTCCTCCTCCAACCCCTCGAGACATCCTAGCATCTCCCAACCCACCCGTCTATAAATGACGTTCTAAGGGCAAGAAATGCTACCGAACTGGTTCTTTGTGGCTTGCCACCAGCTAGACTCAACCATGCCGGCATTACATCCAACACCGGTGGTGAAACTCCAAGCGAGGTTGCCGTTGCTGCCGCCGCAGCTGGGACCGCTGACGGCACAGGCGCCGAAGCGCTTGAGGTTATCCCAGAGGCCGCCGCACTTTCCGGGGACGTCGTCGACACCGCTGGCGGTGATGGACCAGCGGTTTTGTGAGTGGCTGCAGGTGGCGGCTGAGGCTAAAGGAGCGACGGTGGCTAGGGCGAAGACGGCGGTCGAGGTTGTGAACTTCATTTTGTGGTGGTATTGTGGTGGTATTGTCGGGGTGATGTGAAGATTGAGGGGGAGAGAGCTTGTGTAGATGCTTGGAGATTGGACCGGATGAGGTTCTTGTGGTGGACTGTGTGTTGAATGGATGGTGATGGCGATGAGGGAAGATCATACTGAGTGGCGGTCTGAGGGACTTAAATGCGACTAGAGAAATCAACATTCGAGGTCACCACGGGCTGCATCTTCTTTCGATACAGCATCCATCTAGCTCAAGGAAGCTACCTAGAATGGGTCTCGGAACAACCCTGCAACGGCGACAAAGCTGAGGAAAGAAGCAGGCATAAGCATCACGAGAATCCTCAACTAACACTCTGGAGCTGTGAGCTGAGTTGGCCCACTCCGGGACAAGGGGGCATCAACACTTAGTGGAGCTTAGCACGAGGGTTTTATCTTGAGAATCATGAGTTGTCAGCTCGAGTGAATGTGAAGAGCTTCCAAGCGGTGAAGCTGACGGCCCAGGCTCTGAGGATCCTTGAATTTTAGATTTGGTATGCCTCTCGGCAGGCACATTCGCAGAGTCCCGAGTCCTCACTGTCCTATTCGGCATTGAGGTTCGCGACTGAATGAGACGGAGACTTGCAAAAAGGACCGGAAATAACCAGGTTGCAGAAACTGATAGTTTGAAGAGTCCAACCATGGCCATGCGAAAGCGTCCTGATCGGGACAAAATTACCAGTTACGCGAAGACCTTGATGGGATCCGTGGGGTTGAAGAGTGCTGCGATACGATGGGACATGGGTGTTAATATTCGGCTTACTGTGGGCCAAAGTAGACCCTCTTCGGACCTCTCCAGCAGCCCCGTTTCTGACAGTTCGGCGAGTCAGAAGTGGATTGTATGCCTATGTTCTCGCTGGGGTGAGAGGCCGGTGCATCATCGCAGATATGAAGTCGGCGACTCGTAATATTCCGAGCGTGTGCCTACGCCAAGCCCTCGAAGCCTATTTGCCTAAGAGAAGTGTTTGCAGTTGTAGCCTCAAAACACTTCCAACTGGCTGTTCAGCCTGACTTTCCGTAGTTCTAAGGAAACTTCTCGCTTCGGAGGAACTTGGGTGCTATTGACGATGATGAAGGAAGTCGACTTCATCGCCCGATCCGGTGTCATAGATTGAAGGCCATCTGCCGCCTTTCCTCAGAAGGTAACTTTGATCTTACGAGCTTTCCAAAAATTTAACTTCTCACTCTGTAGAGAAGCCGTCTTCATAGACCTTGGTGTGCCTAGTCGACGACATCTGGGGACCCCTACATTAGGCGGCCGATCCCTTCTCTTAGTGAGTACGGAGTGCGGAGTGCCTCATAGGCATTGGTACTCCGTACGAACGCACAGCCAAAACGGGAGTCCGAGATACACAACTCGCTTACAAGCGGAGTCTTGCAGGTGACTTGTGCGTTTGTGCTTGCTTACACGGATGTAAGTCCCGCGCGTATGACGATGGGAACAGTTCCAGCCTACTACCGCGCCATCCTCCTTTCCTATCGGGGATGACGAACTCCATGAACTTATGCGGCTGGATAGGTCTCTTTCCATACCAATGGCGGTCAGTTAATAGCCTTCGACCTGAGATAATGAACTTTGTTCTTTTGAAACTTGTCAAGGACTTCACCGATTGTTGGCAAGTCAGTCGTACAACACCATTCCCGTGTATGGAAAGTCCACAGCTTCTTGAAAACCATCGATGAACAGTGATAGCAACTAATGCGAACTACTTAGTGTAGTTCCATTCTCATGGATAGAGTAAGTGAGGCAAATTTCTATCGCCTATGATCAGAACAACATGCCCTCAGTGATTAGCCTCACGTGAGTGGGACTTGGGATGAGCTGCCTTGAAGAACATGCCAACTCAGTTGTGCGTAGGAGCAAACAGCTTTGGTGTAAGGGCTATGTCTTACAAGACCCCTTGATATTTCACTTGTAATCTCGAAGGTGTAACTTCCAGTTCTAGCAGGACGTCGATTAAGCACATGGAATCGGAATTTCAGGCCAAATCAGCCTCATGTCATGTAGCACTGTCCGCCTTAATCGGCTTGCTGCGCTCATATGTGTGTACATAGTACTTTGATCAAGTAGTCCATATAAGACTGGACTATTTCAGTTGAATAAAAGGCTAAGAAGACAACTTTACATTCTCATCAACGTACACCCAGT